GTCACAGATTTGTTAAAAAAAACTAGGTGACCATTATTTTTTTTTTCAGTGCACTGTGCAACCTGCCATTTTAATTTCCATTGACAAAACAAATTTTGACTATATAACTTTTAAAAATGCAATTGAATCATGCGAATTGATTATGAATACTAGTTGGGCTCACCATTGATTTCTCTATGTGCATATAGCATAGACTGATCATATCCAACTTCCTTCCTTTCAATTACCCATTCTTCCTAATCTATGGTGATCATTCTCACATCAACATTTTAAAAGCTTCTACATATAAGAGAGACCATGGTGTGCTTGATTTCCTGTGTCTTGTTTATTTTACCTGATGTCATTAATTCCATTTTACTTCAAATGACAGGGTCTCATTTTTCTTTATGACCAAGTAATATTTAATCATACATATAGTATATTTTATCAGCTATATATGTATATGTATGTATATATTTGATCATTTGTTGCTGGATAACTAGAGTAATTCCTTATTTGTTGTGAACTGTACTGTAGGCTTTGGTGTGCTGATTTTTCTTCCTTTGGATACATACCTAGAAGTGAGATACCTGGATCCTCTGATATACTTATTTTTAGCTTTTAAGGAACCTCTATATTGTTCTCCATAATGGTTGGGATAATCTATATTACCATCACCAGTATATGAGTTTCATTTCTGCATATCTTTGCCAGATTTTAAAATTTATTTTATAATACCTGTTTTTACTGTGGTTAAGATTTACATTTTCCTGATGTTATTCAGTGTTTCAGTATGTTAAGTAGCTACATTATTTTCCTGTTTTCAAGTTAGATGATTTGCTTAAGTTTTTTTAGTTTCCAAGTATTCTAGCTATTACCTGATGGGAGATGTCATTCTGTAAATATGTTTCTCTTATTAGTTAATGAATAAAGCACTGTTGGCCAATAGGAAAGCAAGATAGGTGGGACTAGGATACTAGGAGGGGAGAGGAAAGGGGAAGGAGGAGATCCAAGATGGAAGACAGAGAGCAGAATGCCAGCCCCTCCTTCCGGTAAGATAAGACCACCTCGAAGTACTTAGAATAATAGAAATGGGTTAATAATTAAGACAGAGTTAGCCGATAAGAAACAAGTAACTGGCCAACAGCATTTATATTTAATACAGCGTCTCTGTGTATTATTTGGGGCTGGTGCGGCAGTGGGCTCAGGCCAGAGGGAAAAACCTACTCATAACAATTACTGCCTTGTCAATGAAGTAATAGCACATATTTCCTCTCATTCTGTAGGTTGCCTATCCGTCCTGTTGCTTCTCATGTTCTAGACATGTTTTTTAGTTTGATTTTGAGTTTAATTTTATCCAAACTAGTTAAGTTTTGCTTTTGTTTCCTGCCATTACAGACCTTCTGCAGAAACCCACAGCCCCTATGGGGGCCTTGAGAGCCTTCCTGTTTTTCAAATTATAGTGACTCACATATCATTAAGCCTCTGATTCCAAACATTTCAATGATTTTTTCCCTTTTATTGAAACTAGATTCTTTTTTTATAAAATATAACCTGGTATGGTTTCCCCTTCCTCTATGACTCCAAGTTTTTCCTCATCTTCCTTCCCATCTGGTTTCATCTCGAGCAGAGAGTGAGAAATAAGGATCCAATTTGAATCCTTTGTTTGAGGGATATGCACTCTTAGCACCATTTCTCCATTGATAAAAATGGCAACATGTGAATCCATGGTATCCCTGTTCAGATTCATTGTGCCACTTGTTTCTTTTGCCAGTGCTACAGTGTCTAGGACACAGCTGCTCCAAGATAGATTTTGATATCAGATTTTGTGATGCTTCCAGCTTTTATCCCCTCAGTATCCCTTTGACCATCTGGGGTCCTCTGGTTCCATACAGACATTAAGGTCATTATTTCTAGTTCTGTGAAGAATGTCATTGACATTTGGATAGTGCTTATATTGAGTGGAAGGTATATTTAAAGACTATTAATTCCTATAATCCACAAACTTGAGTAGCTTTTACATTTTTAATGTCTTCTTAAATATGTTTCACCAGTGTCTTATAATTATTATTGAGTTCTTTCATTCCCTTGATTGTTTATTCCTCAGTATTAGTTTGGCAGATATTTGTTGCACTGTCCACAATCTAGACAGCACATGCTGGTTGGGTTCCTTTTGTGTTGCAATACTAATGCTTTGATGGATATCTAGCACATTTAGGTTACAGTCAGTCTGGGATGTTGCAGACCCCCAGCATGGACTTTATAACCCTAAAAGCAGTTGTGACACTAAAGGGAGCTATAGTGCCTTTGGTATTTGCTGAAAGAAGCCGGGCTATTCATGAAAAAACAAGATGAGTGCTGGGAAGCTCTACTCACATACTTTGGATTTCACACTTTATTTATTTATTTTACTTTCCTTCCAGCTCCCCTAGTTCTCTGTGAGTTGTGGATTGTTTTTATTAGATCTCTGGGATTGCGAAGGATGAATGCATACAATTTATGGTTATATGAGTACCTTTCCATACCCTCTGGGCTAGCACCAAGACCATTTTAATTGGGAAACCAGAAAACCTCTCTCAGCTCTACTGGCATGTGTACATTCCTATTTGCATGTGATGGAGAAGTCATAAGAACAGGAAAATGAAGCAGTACTGAGTGTACCAACTCACAAGGGAGAAATAAAACAGCAGTCTTTCTTCCTGCCATTCTGTGACATTCACAAGGTCAATAAACATGGCATAGGATAGGCCAGCATTCTCTGCCTATGCTTAGATCAATGAGGTTATTTTGTTACTGTGTCTTGAAAACAAATACACAGCTATCACTTATTCATAGTTTATGTGAATGAGAAAGTTCTAGAATCACAACCCCAGTTAAATAATAATGTTTATGATAGAGACACATGAAACTTCTAAAATGATTTCTGAGCCATTTGAACATTTGCTGTAGAAGGGCCTGTGATGGCAGGAGAGAGAGAGAGAGAGAACATAAAAGAGGGAGCCAATATTGGTTTGAAGATAAAATTGAACACAAAGAAAGGTCCAGAGAACTACAAGACTGCTGCCAACTAACAATTTGAGCTTCCGTGGAAAGGCTACCATAAATGCCCTTCCCGGATAGTGAGATCAACGACTAACTTATCCATGGAGCCCTCAACTAATGCCTGTTGGAAACAGGAGCAAACACCCATACATAAACACTGAGTCGAAGTAGAACCCAGATGCAGATGAAGAGGACAAGACCAGGTGGCAGAAACACATAGAGACAGCTTACCTGAACAAGGAGGAACACCAGACTGATAGCTGGGAAGCCAGAATGGGACTAACTCAGGCCCCCCTGAATTTGGGTCTCAGCCAGAAGGACTGAGTAGTCTAAGGGACCTCAGACAGTGGAGCCAGGATGTATCCCTGGTGCACAAAAGGACTTTGCAAACATATCCCCCATGGAGGGATAACTGCCTTAATCTAGAAACAGGAGAGAAGCCCTAGTCCCTACTTCACATGACCTGTCAGATCTGCATGACCCCAACTGGATGGCATTCCCCTACATGTGGAATTGGGGTGGGGGGATGGGAGGGGAGGGTGGTTAGGGTGCATGTGAGAGGGCAGAGAGGGTAAAAGGGAGGGAAGGAGGGAAGGAGGGAGGGAAAGAGGGAAGGAGGGAGGGAGAGGGAATTGGGATCGACATGTAAAATAATAAATTAAATAAAAAAAATGCTTTGACTCCAAAATTTAAGTTCAAGGACAAGTTACTGGGGAAAAGGATTTCTATTTTTGTTTCCACAGACAATGAAAAAATGTGGATTCCTTCCAGACTAATGTGGTTTGATCAAGCCAGACCACCTGAAACAGAGTACCAGGTGGTCCTACATTCAAAACAGCTGGACCAAGCAGCCTTACAGACTACAGCCATGATTTCTGCATCTTAGAATCCTCCATGACAACAGGAAGTAGTTTGGAAAGAACGACACCCAAATTCCCAAATATTGTCTATAAATGATTGTTTTCATTTAAATGGACTTGGTTATATAAAATAAATAAAAAAATAAATGCAGAAAAAAAATAAAGGAAAGAAATGTCTATATAGTATGAGAATGATAAGATTGAACTGCACAGTCTCCTAATAAAAGAATCAGTTTTGAACCAGTTGGTTCTCAGTCTTTCGTGTCTTATTTTGGTTCCAACAGATCTCTTGATGAAAAACTAGCATAAATGTTTTACTCTCTGTCAGGCTTTGATTAAAGAAAAGTGGATTGATCTAATGTACCGAATAATGATAAGAATCTTGTAGAGTTATTGGAGCAATAAACTATAGTCATCTGCTCATTAGTTTATCAATTCTGGTTGATGCACTTTTGAGAAGTTATATAGAGGGCAATGCCATTGGGAACATGGTAAATCTGCTTATGTTTTATAAGGAGATTCTCCAGGGAGGAAAAACAGAAATAAAATTACGACCTAGAAAAAAATGGGGAAAATTGCTCTAGAGTTCTGGTTAGTGTGTGGCCCTGGGCATAAGAAAACAGAGACTGGCACTATTTTTTGACCAGGGCATTTTAAGGCAAGATGGAAATATATCATAGCCAAGTATTTAGCAAAGGAGGGGCCAACAAGGGAAGTCATGGTATTGTACCGAAGGTACTCCCTACGGGCTTTTCTCAGTTGGGAAATGAGCATGCTAATGCTACATACAAAAGCCAGCACCTTGCAGTGGGAGAGTCCTGCTTTGGTGGAGCATCATACTGATGGGCCAGCCAGTTCATGTTGCCTGATGTTAACCTGGCATAAATGCGGGTTGGTATTGCCATGCCAAGAACATGTGGCTTGGACAGAGGAAGAGCAGGTCCTATATTTGACTTTTCTTGGTTGGGAGAATTATGAAGGAGTCATCTAGATAGTTAGGAAACCAAGTAATGATACGTAATACAAGTTTGACTTTGAGTGATGGACTCAGAAGTATCATCCGGTATGTATTATAGATACTAGGAGAAGTCAAATAATAGAGCACTCCCCATGACTTACATCTCTTCCAATCAGGTCCTCCTGGTTTTCCACAATTCCCCAGGGGGCGATACCTATGGTACATATCTTCCCTCGAGATTTAGATGCATGGTCCTTCAACGCATCTCCAACATGACGAATGACACCTAGGAGCAGAGAGAGAGAGAGAGAGAGAGAGAGAGAGAGAGAGAGAGAGAGAGAGAGAGAGAGAGGCATTAACCTTGTCTTTTAAGGGCAGTGACCTTCTTGTCATTCTGCAGGAAATTAATGAGTGCTTTTAACTTGGGGGAGAGTATTGAACACAGAATTTTGACACATTTGTATAAAAACTACATTTATAGTGACTTCATATGAGTGGCTATAATGCAGATATATTTGTCAGATATAATAAAAATTGAAACAATGCATTTCTTTAATTCATATGGAAAAAACAGAATACCTAGTGTCTATAAAGAATTAGTTTAATTAGAGTACATTAGAGGACCCCTTTCCCATAAGCATAGTGATTTATTGGTATCCTTGCATCCTTGGAATAAAAAGCACAAAAATTAATTTATTCTATAGTCTGTGAAAGAATTAGGGTCATTTCTGTAGTTATTTACCTAAGATTTTATTAACCTCAATTTCCACTTCCTATTTATATCACATAATGTGGAAAGCCTAGTAATAATGCTGTCTTACTCAATGGCAAATTTATGCTAAAATATTTAAGTATACCTTTAATATTCATCATTCTATTTGTTTCCTCCTCCTGTTAATGATTGCCTCACAGTTAAAAGCAAAGATACTCAGATTGCAGCAGTAGGTAACCCAATCTTACTTTAAGAAAGCATTTAAAGGATATATAATTTCTAATCTTCTAGCTTCCTTCTTGAGCAACCGTTTCTATAAATGACTTGTAGAATACATTTTCTAAGAATACACTTACCAACATTCTCCCCATCCCCCAAGAAGCATTCATCCTCAGTGCCATCCCTTCTACAAATATTAAGTTGGATATAATTTCTTATGTATGTAAATCTTGTGAGTCCCCAACAGCTCCATGTGTCACTGCTGCATTGTCCAGTGAAGCATAACAGTATGTAAGATGTGCTTGCTCTCTGACAGGAGGATGGGATGGTCAGTGTGTTGTGCAGCTTGTGGACCTTGAGGGAGAGTCTGACTCCAAATAAGGGCACAGAAACCATGTGTTGAATAGGCAGAACACACCAAGAACTTTCACTATGGAGACATCATATATGTTTCAATAACTCATCTGTGAAGTATACACGAGATCAGACAAGAGTTTCCTTTTGGAATCAAATAAAAGTATACTTGTGCACTAATCCACAGTGTGCTGTTTGTGGGTGCGGGGAGATATCCTTCTCACCTGTTAGCTTATCACTGTATCAGCTAAGTAAAAACATTGCTGAGTACAACTTTCAGACAAAAATTATATCCATAAATATTAATATTAATGGACAAAACACATCAGGGCTGGGTTGGACAAGAAATCCAATGTTATGGTATGCCTCTCTGCCAGTTTTCTCTACCTACTACCAGCTTTAATAGCCACTCTTAAAGTTCCATACTCTAAACCAGAGAAGAACTGTTTGGTATATAGTATTTAGGATGCAATTCCCCTCTGCTTTTGAATGCATTTAACAAAGGCAGAAAAACAACTATCAATCCAGCTTTCTAAATATAGAAAATTGGTTAAAATTTCTTTCGAGCCCTTCGAGCCTTGCATTGTGTGGGTCTCTCTACACCAGGAAAACAAAAGCCTAAACAATTACAAGCAAGTGCTTTCTACTTAGTGAAGAGGAAAATGTGGAGGCTAAAATCTGGAGTCACTATAATTGCTCTTTTTACAAGATTGACAATAAGAGCAGACTGAGCAGGTCAGCCGAAGATGTTGCCAGTTTATGGGGCTGGAATTTTATAACACAACACAGGGCGTGGACCATCTGCATACTTCACTGCCAAAACATGCCTGTTAGCTGTGTATTGACTGCTCACAGATTCTAGCTGTGTAGGAGATTTCACAGTTTCGCTGTCCCTTAAACATCATCCAAGCTAAAACTTGATTATTGTTTAATAAGAACATGTAAGCTGGTCTAGAGTCATGAACTCTGGATGTCCCACTAACACCAAATGTGCCCACGAGTACAGGCTTTGAGCCTTATGACTTTGAATTAGCTTATTACAAAGTTACTGGGATACATCTGCTGTTGCTTTGGGGGGCCCTCGCTGGCCCCCTCTCAAGCTCTGGGTATCCTGAAACTCATTATTATAGATCAGGCTGGTCTCAGACTCACAGAGATCCACCTGCCTGCCGATGCTGAGTTCTGCCATTAAGGGCATGTACCACTATGCCTGGCATTGGTATGCTTTTTTATAGGAATTTCTGACTCAGGGTATCTCGTAACCAATTTTACTCCATTATTTGTTGATACTAATCACGTTCTGAAGATAAGAACCTAAGTGTAAGTGGTTATTAGAATTGGTTTAATAACATGCCTGTATCATAGTATGGCAGGCAGGAAAAAGTATTTGGAAACCATGGCACTTTGGAATCCCTGTAGAATGTGATGGGAGATGTCATTCTGTATATGTTTCTCATACTGGTTAATAATAAAGCACTGTTGGCCAATAGAAAAGGAAGATAGGAGGGACTAGGAGACAAGGAGGAAATAGGAAGTAGTAAGGAGGAGTCAAGATGGAGAGTCTGAAGAAAGCAGTATGCCGCCGGCTCCCCGGTAAGAGAAATACATAGATCAGCAGAAATGGGTTAATAATTAAGATAAAGCTAGCCGATAAGAAACTAGTAACTGGCCAACAGGATAATATCAAATACAGAGTCTCTGTGTGTTATTTGGGGCTGGCGGCGCAGCGGCAGGACAAAACCAAGCGGCAGGCAGAAAAACCCGTACACGTTACAGATGGCGCCCCACGTTGGGCGCCATCTGTAACGAGTACGGTTTTTCCGCCTGCTGCCCGGTCTTGTCCTGCTACCACGCCACCAGCCCCAAATAACACATCTCCCCGGTAAGAGAAGGCCATGTGAAGATACATAGAAATGGGTTAATAATTAAAGGCAGAGCTAGCCGATAAGTAACAAGTAACCGGGCCAACAGTATTGTATCAAATACAGAGTCTCTGTGTGTTATTTGGGGCTGGTGGCGTGGTAGCAGGACAAGACCGGGCAGCAGGCGGAAAAACCGTACTCGTTACAAGAATGTTTTAAGAAACATTTAACATTATAAACACGCATGGATCTGAAGAGATGTGCAGTGGTTAGGGGCATGTACTGCTTTTGCAGGGGATCCAAGTTTGGTTTCTAAGTACCCATGTTGGGCAGTTCACAACTGCCTGCAAATCCAGATCCAAGAAGGATCCAGTGTTTCTCTGCTTCTGAGGGCACTACACTAATGTGTTCTCTCTCTCTCTCTCTCTCTTAATTAAAAATAAAACATTTTAAATGAGCATGTAGTAATCTAGTCTTAACCTTATAATTCATGTCCCAGATGAAATGGCATTAAAAAAAATTAGGGCTGGGAAGATGCACAATGGATAAAGCACCTTCTGTACAAGTATACGGATGTGTGTTTGAATCACCAGAGCCCATGTGAAAGCTAGGTATGGTAGCAGTATGAGCATCTGTAGCATGCCTATAGAGAGTTGAGTGACAGAGAACAGAGAGTTGCCGGGGGGGGGGGCTTACAGGCTAGCTAGCCTGGTGTATACAGGAGTGTACAACAGAGAAATCCTGCCTCAACAAGAGTGAATAAACACCAGAGAAACCCTGTCTCAATAAAGTGAAAGGCAAGGACTGACACCTGAAGTTGTCTGACTACATGTAATAGTCATGCCATGTAGTAGCTATGGAAGCTATGGCATATACAATCTCTCTCTCTTTGTCTGTCTCTGTCTCTCTCTCTCTCTCTCTCTCTCACACACACACACATACTTAAACAATTTAGTTGGTACCAAGCTTAGAATTACTTAAATAATAAAGGCAGACATTCCAATTTAAAACAAAAAGTTATTCCTTAAAGAGTTAGTGGATACCTATGGTAATTTAACCTACTAAAACCATCTTGTGAATTTCCATTCATCTTTTATTCAAATTCTGGAAGTCATTGAACAGTAAAGCCATTTCTCATATGCAGCTCTTCTTAGTTGAAAATCATCTATATAACTCTCACTTAGGCAAAGAAAGGAGGAAAAGAGAAGGGATGAGCAGGTAGATGATGGCATGTATGGCAAAGACAAGGCAGCACATGAAATATGGAAATTTTCAGTGAGGCAAAATTATCCTAGACAGCACAGCATCACAGCTGCCTTTCTTTATCCCACTCTGATTACCTGTGTTGACTCCTCCTGTGAAGATCCACGCTCCGGTTGTCATGGCTGCTTTGATGAGCCCTTTCCCGAAGACTTGCTTGAGTTTGGGCTGGAGTTCAAAGTTCTGCAGCCCTCCGTGCACAGAGATGAGAAGTTTAGGGAGCTCCAGTTGCCATTCCTTGGTCATCAGGTGTAGCAAGAGATCAGGTTTCGTATCAAAAGATACTCGGACGTACTAGAATAAACATGGACAGTTAGGGAGAGGGACAGGGCTGCTTGGGGCTGTTCATCTTTGTGACAGTTTTATGTACCCAATGGGAAGAAAACGTGTTATGTGGAATCAGATATTTTAAAGAGACAGGATCATTTCCTTATCAAAAGAGGCCGCAAGAGACAAAGTTGTTCTCACTTTTAAAAGTTTTTTTGAAAATGAGTTATTTCCAATTTGAAAATTACTTATTTTTTTACAAAATGCAGTTTAAATACAAGTCTCCTGGTGAGCTCTTTATCTAAAACAATTTATGTTGATATTTTACCATTGTTTATGTTTGTTCAGTACTTCAAACATGCCTAGTATTTTCAATATGGTCACTCTTTTAAATAAACCAGATGTAAATATAATTATGTCTTTGTGTTTTTTGTGATCCTGTTGTGATTTTGAGATTCCAGAAGATTCTAAAGTTCTATATAATACAATAAGAAATACAATAAAAAATTTTAAATCAGGCAATAGCAGGTTATATTTAACAGTAAATGTATCTCAAATAGCCTATTATCTACCTACCTATGTAAAAATTATGTATCTATGTATCTATCAATCATCTCTATTTGTTTAATTTTTATGAGACACTATATAGCTATGACTGGCCTAGAACATGCTATTCTGATCAGGCTGACTTCAAACTCAGTGATTCTCCTAATTTCATCGTCTAAGTGATGAGATAAGAGGTATGTGGTATCACATCCATTTCAAATGTTTTATCTTTAGAAGACCAGTGACAGGAGGAATACCAGCTATTCCTATAGTTGAAAATGAGAATTTATAGCAGAAATCAAGGCTTTACTAGACACAACAGAAAATTCTAAGTATATATAACAAAAGCCATAAGTACAATGATAATATATAGGACCATGGACACATACACACAAGTAGTTTTAGCTCAACTACATAGTTGATATACAAGGCAAACAGAAAATCTTTTGAAATATTCTGTTGTCTTGGCATGAAATGCAGAAATACTCAGTTTCTAACAAAAGTCTACTTGGTAGCACAGAGCAGAGCTGGACCTGAGAGGCTCCCCCAAACCCTTCAGCCCTTCAACATCTGACCTGAAGACTTTTTCAAGTCTGGGGAATTCCTTGCAGAGCTACACAGAAAGCTAGTACACATCAAAATTCTCAACTCTGAAACATTAGGAGGAAAACCTAAGGAACTATATAAAAGAAGGCTGTAGGGAAATTTGCTTACCTCAACCATGGAAGGCTGAGGGAGGTTCTGGTGGACTGAAAAAGAATTCCCATTCGATTATGACTAGCATGAGCAGGACCCTACACAGATTTGCCATTGGTACTCTTAATGTGGTTTGAGACCTAGAAAGTGGTATGTTAATGTCAATTGTTTTGGTGGAGTGGTAGCTCCAGGTAAACAGTAGAAGCAAACACAGACCCTCTGTGAAGGAATATGTAATAAATCCAGATTGAAAATAGTTGCATGCCAACAGATAGCTGGGCTAGACCCTTTGAGACAGTGAAATGGTTGGTCATAGAAACAGACACATTTATCATCTTATATATGGATATTTAAAAAAAAGGAAGAAGCTGTAACAACCTTGGGCATTTGAAATCCAGAACAACATGCAAAAATTAAAGTGAAATACTGTAAGTGAAATTAGCATGCAAAAAACATATTGACAACGATTCTTAAAAATTAGCCACATGCAGCCTAGAAAAATGGGTTGGAAAAATACACAGAAAAATAAAAACAACTAAAGATGCTCAGGGGAGTGAGTTAGAAATTCTAGATTAACATGAAAGAGCACTGCTCAAGGAGGCATTGGCAGACTATTTCTCAGATATACTGAAGGAAACCAACTCTCAGGTCCAGGAACTCAATGGATCCTGGAAGGATAAATGACAGGAAACCTCAATCATGACATATTATAGAAAGCACCCCTATAAACAGCTGGGATAAAGCACCACCTATGAAGATTCTAGACTAGAAGCTCATTCCTCACCTGCAGCAATGGAAGCCAAAGCCAAGAGAAATGGCCTGTCAGTCTAGAACTCCACATTTTCAGGGGAAAAAAATGACATTTTCTTTGCAAAATTTGGAGAATACATAGCCATTTTATGAATGCCAATGTTGCGTTTCCTGTGACAAATTTCACTGAAGTAGAATTGAAGCTTATGTGACCCAAAATTATGATCTCAAACACAAAGTGGAATGTAATAATAACTACATGGTAAATATAAAAGCATGATGCTTGCATAATATAAAACAGCAATCATGCCTAATTTATAGTGTATGGGAATAAAAGTAAAGCATCAGGCAGTAAATTAGTAATCAAAATTATAATATTAAGAGCATATTACATGAGGAATATATCTCAGTTGAAGAATGCATGTCTGAAGCTCTTGGTTTGGTACTTAGCACCACATAAACAGTATGTGATGGTGCCTGCTTGTAATACCAAGATTTGAGGGGTGCAGGCAGGTAGTGAAGAAGTTTGGGTTCTTCATGAACTACATGAAATTCTGTCTCAAAACTCAAAATAGCAAGAACAAAAATAAATGCTGGGTCCTTGAGATGGATAGGGAGTAAGGCACTTCTTTATCCTCAAGCCTGAGGACCTGAGTTCAATTCCTGGGATCACATGGTAGAAGGAAAGTACCAACTCCCACAAATTTCCTCTGACCTCTGTATGCCCACTATGGCCCACGTGCATGTGCACACATAGATACCCACAGAAAATTAATTAAAAATTTTAAAGTGTTGCATGGGAGAGAAAGCAATTAACCAAATTTGTGGCACATTACTGTAATCATCACTTATAAGGCAGAGACAGGAGCTTTAGGATTTCAAAGGCTAGCCTTGAATACATACTGAATTTGAGGCTAACCTGGATTTTATGAAATCTGTCTCAAAAAACTCCAAGTTATTCATGATCTTTTGGCCAATTACATTCAAGTCTGTTTTGTGTGTGTGGTGTATGTGTGTATGTATTCATTTGTGTATATGCAAGTTCATGCAGGTGTGGACCATAAATTAATTTTGAATGTCTTCCTCAACTTCTATCTTTTAATTTATTTTATTTTATAGATTTATTAAATTACTCTCTTTCTCTCTCTCTCTCTCTCTCTCTCTCTCTCTCTCTCTCTCTCTCTCTCTCTGTGTATATTCCTACATATGTAGAAACTAGATTGTTCACCACGCCAATGACCTCATTTGCTGAGTCAGCAGCTTCACACTAATTGTGCCTGGAGAAATTAAATAATTCCTATTACATTGTTAATATGATTTGAAATTAGAAGTTATTTTAGTTGTCATGAGAACCAATTTATTTATTTTTTAATTTTGGGACAGGGATGGCATTATGTGGAGGTGAGAGGGTGGTTTGTAAGAGTCAGTTCTCTCCCAGGGATTGAACTCAGGTCATCAGACTTGGCTGCAAGCACCTTTACTCACTGAGCCATCCCTCCAGTCTATGATAAGCAATTTTGATGTCCATTATGAGTCCATTAGTCTCTAAGGCATCATATTGCAAATAACAAGACATCCTCCTAACATACATTTTAATGTGGTTACCTAGTCATTACTCTGGCTTGGCACTGTTTAGAAATTTCAAACCCATTCCATTATCAGATGCTAACAGTATTGGTCATTTGGACAATGTGAGTATCTCACCTGGTATATAAGACCAACTCTGACCACTGAACAGGATACTATATAGTAAGTGCAAAGCAGGTAAAGATTACTTATAGTCAATCTATAACTGATCCAAATCACATGCTTTTCAAAACAGTCTTTATTTACTACTCTAGTTCTATGGGGATTGGGAGGGGGGAGCCTTGTCCTCTCATTACAATGGGCAATTAGGTCTCTAGTTGATCAAATGAGAAGTTGAGATCAGGTAAGGTATGTATGCATGTCTGTAATGACGTGCCCCTTTCTCTTCCTGCTGTTAGCTCTCCTGTCTGATATTGGAGGCCTGTGCATGTCAAGTGGATGGCTTTTGAAGTGGTCTGTGTAAGACAGAAGCCAGATTTAGTTGAGATTGTATAATTTTATGTTCTTGAGTACCATGGAATCAGCATTATTTTTACATGAAGATATGCCTTAATTTCCAGACAAGAAACTAGAAATTACATTTTGTGAGACTCCGATAGGCAATGAGAGCTTTTCTTTCACTTGAATGGAGAAGACATTGGTAAAGACATCCGTAGAAGTCAGCTATGCCTGATACTGGGGTTCCTGTGCTGGGCAGGTGACTTTCCTACTGAATTGGCTATTACAATGTCAGCATTCCAAATGTTTCAGCTTATTTATCAATGCTATGGAGCTCACAGGGTGTCATCAGGCAGTGTTCTTATTCTTCTATCATATCTACATGGGGTAAAGACTGGATGGGGTGAGGACACAGTCATTACTACTTAGAGCAGATGGAGTTGTTTCCTTTAACAAACCAACCAAAACCTCCACAAACCTCTATCGGAGGTTTCAACTTGAGCTTCATAGAGCCTTTGGTTCTGCTAATTCACCAGTCACTTCTTTAGCCCTAGATTTTTACCCATGTAACTTTGCCCAGCTGTCTTAATGAAAATGAAAATGGCCTGCAGTACAATAAATCTTGCCACACACTTGGAAATGTTCAATGAAACATCCTCCCCTTTCACTGCAAAGTCACCATTAATTCTTATAAAGAACCACTTGGTCCTTCTTAAGCAGTGTTTGCCCTGATTAATGGGCCTACTATTGTGAAATCTGTTTTAACAGTCTCAGCAATACCTTTCTTTTAAGCCCACAGTGGGAAATGTTGCCCATTCTCCTCTCTGTTGAGAAATGTGACAAGCATCATTTCATTTCCCAATTTTGGTAGCCACATATAAAAGGGGTACTTCTGATAAAAGCTGCAGCCAAACACAATATGTCACATCAGAGATAATTCTGCTGATAGAGGCTTCCCAAGTCCACGAAGTCTTTGTGTGGCAGCTGGAGTTTAATGCTTTCAGTGGTTC